TTCATCTTAAAAAGTACTCAAATATATAATTTGTAACTTGGTAAATTGTTATTAATTTACAACATGATAAATTATCACAAAATGAACACATCCATGTCATCCTGGTCAAGAAATAGAATTTTCCCCCTTCCCCTTCAAATTATAGTGCCCACTCATTACCAAATCAATTCTGTATGTAAGTTCAGGCTGTTTTTAAGCTTTATATGAGTGAAATCATAGAGAAGTGGCTACTTTATCTTTAAATGATGATTGTGAGACTCATCCGTGTCTTATCTGCAGCTCATTCGTTCTCCTTGCCACCTAACCTTTCAGTGAATGAATCTGACACAATTAAGTTGTTCGCTGTACTGTTGATAGACTTGTATATGAAGATTGTGTTTGGGGCCAATAAAAACAGGGTTGCTGTGAATGTTTAGTACAGGTCCTCTGGGAAACAGATACAAACATTTCTGTTGGGTAAACATCTACAGGTAGAATTGCTCATAACATTGCTTAGTCAAGGTGTTTATACTATGCCCTGTAAAAGTTTTCCCATTTTTATTACATTTTTCCAGGATATTTTACTTTTTATGCTATTATAGGTTACAATTGGTTTAATTTTAACTGTTCCTGACATATATAAAAACAACTCATGTTTGTGTGTTGATCATGTAACCAAATTCCTTTATTTTTAATAGTTTATTAATTCATTTTTTGAACATTTTACATGCACAGTCATATCACTCATGCATGATAGGATTGCTCTTAAAGCTGACCTTTAAAACACAGATAGGAGTGAAATCAATTGATGCGAGGCACCTCGAAGAGAAAGAATGTTAATATGCCTAGTAGAATGTTCGCTACCCACATCGAGGACTTGCACAAATGAATGTGTGTTTCTTAAAAGGGCACGTGGCAGTCAACCACAGAAATTCAGAGTTAGGAGAGGCGCCCAGGCAAAGGTGAGCAGTGCCCGGCCAGCACCGCACAGCGGAGGGGGCACCACACTTGAGTCTTCCAGTTCCTCGGGCAAGACCACGTGTTTGGTATGAATGCAGGAGGTGCCACTAAACAGTCCATTGTTCTAAATTATTTCTTTGATTCTTTGCTCAGAAAGTAACCTTCCTGTTATTATTGGACTTCCCTTTTTGACATCTATGTATAGACAAACAACTGGTCAAATAACCTATAAAACTAAAATTACTATAATTATAATTGTGGTTAACAAATGAGCATATTAGTTTAAGGAAATGGATAAAGTTGTTATGCCCAATGACGGGTCTCATTGTTTGTGAATAAGATCAGATGTCTGAGTCTTCAAGAATCAAAATTCAGACCCTAGTATTTTGTCTCAGTTATAAATATCTACTTGAAAGCATTTGAGACAGAGCTTTTTCTAAGTTAATGGACAAGATACTTTTTCATGACACTCTATTACTTGTTTTAATGTTATTGTGCCTGAACAAGACAGAGAATGTAGAGACCTCACAGAGCCTCAGTAATGGAAAGCACCCTTAGAGTCTCCTGTTTATTTAGTTGATACTTCCATACCTCCGGTGATATGATGACCTACAAGCATGGGAACCCATCCCATTTGCAAATGTGTCATTAAACAGAGCTTCCTTATGTGAGCATCTGCCTTCCTGGGCTTCCTGCGTCTTTTGTTTATTGGGATCGCTAGTGATTAAGACAGTCATCGGCATTGCAGAGCAGTTCTCCTCTCATTAGACGTCTTGCCTCATGATACTCCCTGCTGCAAAATCATGTTCCCTGCCCTCTGATCTCTGGCATATGTTTCCTCACCTCGCTGGATGCACTTCTGAGTAAGGACAGCATTTCCCTACTGATGGCATAGATTTTATGATGCTCATTTTTCCTGAAGGCCCTTGTCACTAATCCTGAAAATGGATTTTGATTTTTAAGGTGAACTTCAGAGTTCTTTCTCAAAATATTCTAGATGTTACCAGATTCTGGTTTAGTGGAATGAGATATTCTTTAAATATATGGCCATGCTATATCATTCTTATTATTTACGTCTGTGCCAGTTTTGTAAGATGCTTCTAGTTTACCTTATCCATTTTCTGTACTAAATTGCCTCTGAAGTTGTGCATCTGTTTATTTCTGATTTTATCTTTAACTGTACCTTTTCTATTGTGAAAGTAGAAGACAATACATTTTGGTTATGGGAATTACAATCATATGGAATAGTCCTCAATTCCTGTTCTGCCATTTACTAGCTGTATGTTTGGGGGAAAGATGGAATATTCTTAAACCCACTCATGAATTATTTCTCAATATAATGTGTGATCATACCTTACAAATATATCTTTATTTTCCCACTGCCATCTTACATTTATGTCCACCCATGTATTAACCTAGAAGTGTTTTTCTTTCTTTTTTCCCGTATTTTACTCGTTTAGTACATCTGTAGTCAGACACTTATCTTCTTTAGAGACTCTAGTTCTTACATTTTCAAGGGATATTACAAAAATAATATATTATCACCTCTATTATGTGTAGAGAATAGTTTTTTTCTTTGCTTTTCCTCAGTAATCTAAGATAGTCTATTTTGTTTATCTTTGTATCCCTGACTTAATACAAACTAACTTCAATTTTCAAATTATAAACATTAAAACCAAGGTATTTATTAGAAATCATAGCCCATTTATGGAGAGTTTAGTGCTGACCTCAATGACTAAAAAATACATGGGTGGTTATCTCCATCACAATTCCATTCAGTTCCTTCAAAACCTAATTGATTATAATGTATGAACATAGGCTACCTAAACTTCATCGATTGATGCCCCAATAGTAGCTTTTATGCCAGATGGAGAATTTTTACTACAATGGATTAAAAACTTCTGGTCTCCAAAGACAATGGAAAGAGGAAATATTCCCAATGAAAAGAACTGTGATTAGTACAATGGTCGAGTGGGGGGAGCGAGGTGGGGTATATGTGTGTATGTATGCATATAGTGGGGTATATGTGTGTATGTATGCATATAGGAGAAAAATGGCCTCAGGAAATGATGTCCATTGGCTACTTGCAAAAGGTGAAAGGTCTGACTTATTTATCTCATCTCTGGAAAAAGCATGATTGGAAGATAAGGACATTTGGAGAAAAATCGTGCTCACGGAAATGGTGCGTCAGCAGACAGCGCTTCCTCTTTGTGTCCCGCATCAGCGCCCCCTAAAGAGTGCCCAGCACTTAGGAGACACTGGACAAAGTACAAGCTGGTATGACTCATTTTGTCTAGTACCTCAGGCGCACCAGTACTTGCACAGGAGACGTGAACAAGTAGCAATGGTGGCAGAAACTGAGGCTTTGTGCAGACCAACAGCGCAGGCTCCCCCTCCCACAGCCGCCTGTGCTCCATGTGCTGTTGTCAGAAGTAGAGAATGAGTCCTTATGGACAAAAACATGCATGAAAACCAACCACCCCAAACCGAGCCACTTCCACATTGAGAAGACTACAATGCTCCCTTACTGTGATTGCATGCTTGGCGAAAGGAATTGTTTTTCCTGTCTGTGAGGCTGTCCATCTACCACCTTACAGTATTATTGTCATAGGATCCTGGATATCATCACTTTGGACAAAGGGACCCACTCTGTGATAAACAAGGTCAACAGCAGGCACATAACCATAGATCTATCTATCCTACCATGCAGCACATGACAGAGAATTTGCTGGCCTGATAAAATATTGGAATGGTCTCATACATGTGCAGAAAAGACACCAACATAGAGGTGACAACCTGTGGGATTGATTTATTGTCTTCTGGATGTGGAATGTACAATGGCTATTGTGTCATTAACATATATGTAAGATCACATATACCCATAAAGGGTAGTACACATGGGTTCAGAAAACGGTGGGTGGCAGTTGGAGTGAATCTTCTCATATTAACCCCCAGTGACATACTTGGGAGTCTATGCTTCCCAGCCCATCATGGCAGTAGACTCTTGGATTGAAGGTTTTATTCCTGTGAAAGGTGCATTTTTTATCAGGGGATGTAAGGTAATTTTACAACTATCATCTGGTGTGTTTGGGCTCCTCATATCAGTAGAGTAGTGGGCAGAGAAAGCAGTGACTGTTTGGTGAGTGCCAATTACCGTGAAGAGGTGGAGAGCAGGGAGACGGACCTCTGGAATGTGGGCGTTTACTGGCGTGTCTCATGGGGTGCTCGGGCCCAGTGACAGCCTTCACTGAGTGGTGACAGCACCACAGCTCGCCAAGGGGGCAGTCACCCGAGGCTTCTTTGAGATGCAAATGCAAGTGCCCTTGAGCAGGAACAGAAGACCCCTTCCTCAATCTGAGCTGGTTCATTCTTAGCTTTGTGGCATTGAACAATTAACTTTTTTCCCCCTGAAAAATGGAGGTAATGTTTGCGGGGGCTATTTTGATGCTCAGAGTAGATAAGGCTTATAATACGCACTATGTAGTTAAATCCCTATATCAGGAATTCTGTACAATAAATAAAACACAATATGGATGAATTATGGCGTAGAATTTATTAAGAAACATAGGTAAGACTCTTGCATTTCAGAAGATGATTCAAAGTGGTCCTAAAAGAAGAAAGCCTGATAGAAGAAGCATGCGTACATTGATAAAGAATATATGATTATGAAGATCACCTATTAGTTACGAAACATATTAAAAAGTTATGAGAACATGTTTGACTAAGTTACTTAGAGGGACTGGGTAATCCTGACTTCAGAGTTATGGCCAAGGCCATGACTGCATATGAAGGATACACGGAGCTGGCACGTGATCCACACACACTAAAGGAAGAAGACTGGACAAAGCCCTCTGCCCACCATCAAGCTTATTCAGCTTTTGTGAACTAAATGAAATGAGTCAAGTGTGTTGGTTTTCAACAAAATCTAGGAAGTGAATTTGTTTCCAAAACGGCAAGTCAGTTAACCGAAGATGTTGTGTGCAGATGGTGGTTCTTCGACAAGATGATCAGCAGCAGGAAGGCTAGCAGTAGCTGGACACATGGAAAGGGCAGCAGCAGCAGCTGGGTCAGCAGCAGGTGGTCCTACAGCAGGTGGTCTGACAGCAGGTTGGACGGCAGCATGGCTGGCAGCAGCTGGACACACAGCAAGGGCGGCAGCATGGCTGGCAGCAGCTGGACACACAGCAAGGGCGGCAGCATGGCTGGCAGCAGCTGGACACACAGCAAGGGCGGCAGCATGGCTGGCAGCAGCTGGACACACAGCAAGGGCGGCAGCATGGCTGGCAGCAGCTGGACACACAGCAAGGGCGGCAGCATGGCTGGCAGCAGCTGGACACACAGCAAGGGCGGCAGCATGGCTGGCAGCAGCTGGACACACAGCAAGGGCGGCAGCAGCTAGACACACAGCAAGGGCGGCAGCATGGCTGGCAGCAGCTGGACACACAGCAAGGGCGGCAGCATGGCTGGCAGCAGCTGGACACACAGCAAGGGCGGCAGCATGGCTGGCGGCCAGGGGGGTGGCTGGCAGCGCATGGCGGCAGCAGCTGGACACACAGCAAGGGCGGCAGCATGGCTGGCAGCAGCTGGACACACAGCAAGGGCGGCAGCAGCAGCTGGGCTGGCAGCAGGTGGTCCTACAGCAGGTGGTCTGACAGCAGGTTGGGCGGCAGCATGGCTGGCAGCAGCTGGACACACAGCAAGGGCGGCAGCATGGCTGGCAGCAGCTGGACACACAGCAAGGGCGGCAGCAGCAGCTGGGCTGGCAGCAGGTGGTCCTACAGCAGGTGGTCTGACAGCAGGTTGGGCGGCAGCATGGCTGGCAGCAGCTGGACACACAGCAAGGGCGGCAGCATGGCTGGCAGCAGCTGTTCTCGGTTGGGCGGCAGCATGGCTGGCAGCAGCTGGACCCACAACAGCTGGATCCACAGCAGCTGGGCCTACAGCAAGGGGAGCAGCACATGGTGTCAGGGGTGGAAGATGGATTTCTATTCAGAGGTGAGTTTCTCTGATTCTGATGACTTCTGTTCTGGGGCTTTTATACACCAGACCCCCAATGTTGGGACCAATAAGCATGGCCTTCCTTGTTGTTCACAGTGTTTTTGTAGTCACTGGGGAGTTGTCAAGGTGCAGTTTGTTCTCTGAGTGTTTTGAGGCTTTCGTAATTTGCCGTTTGATCTTTTTCTTATGTGGGATTAGTACCTAAGAACCATTTCCAGAAATGACACAGGAATCATCACCAGCAACAGTTCTGGTCATGTGACACCATGTGATGATGTGATAGCTCTTGGTGCCTTAGTCTGAAGGCCAAAACAGTTGTTTCTTCTCAGTGTTATTCCTTTGATCGTATTTAGATTGGGGGGTGTCCTGAGAGGTCAGCACCTGACCGATTCTGAGAGTAATGAAGAGCTGCCTAAGTCTGAACTCTCAGAAGGTCTAATTCGAGGCTATGAAATTTATCTGTATCTTTGGAAGCCTGCTCAAAATTTGCTCCCCAGTTCTATCAGAGACAGTTGAGGAGAGGACAGTGGCCCATTGTTTTCCCATGCAGATCAGCACCCAGATGGTAGACAAGAGGCAGAAGCTGTCCACTGGGTGTCAGAACACCAGTTCTTTCATGTTCCATCCCTGTTTTCTAGCTGCATCAGTGTCTCGGGTGAGACATCCCAACTGGCACGTACATACTTTCTTTTACAAATTGAGGCTCATAGTTGAGGTAAGATGATGGCCAAGATATATTTGAATTTGTAAATGCATGTTTCAACAAATGTGGAAAATTGCCAGCCATAATCTCCTAAAATTCTTTTTTGCCCCATTCTCAGTCTTCTAGGTACGAATGAAGGAGCGGAATTGCTTGTGTCATAGGGAAAACGTATAACCAACAATGTAGACAGAATAGGGCAGTGTTTCAGCATTTCACCACCAGCGGGGTCTCCTGCTCTCCCTGATATCGTGAGCCTTCCGAATTCTACTGCTATGTAACTGTACTTGGGTTTTAAAATTGAAATATAATTAACATGTAGCATTTTATTAGTTTCAGGTATAGGACATAATGATTTAATGTTGGTATATATCACAAAATAATGACTACAACAGTAAGTCTAGTTGATATCTATCACCATTCATAGTTACAAAAGCTTTTTTCTTTTGCTGAGAACTTTTCGGGTATACTCTCTTTTCAACTTTTAAATATTCAATCCAGTATTTTTAACTATAGCCTCCAGACTATACATTACATGCCCATGACTCACTTATTTCATAACTGGGAGAGTGTGTCTTTTGACATCCCCTTCACCTATTTTGCCCACCCCCCTCCCCCCTTCTGGCTACCACCAATGTGCTCTCTGTATCTCTGAGGACATTTTTTTTATGTCGTGCATATAAGTGAGATCATATGGTACTTGTTTTTTTCTGTCTGACTTATTTCATTTAGCATAATGCCTCAAGGTCCATCTGTGCTGACACAAATAGGAAGATTTTCTTCTTTTTATGATGGAATGGTCTTTTATTTTATGTATATCTCTATATCTATGTCTATAGAGATATATATTATATTACATCTATATACTGTACCAATGTAGATAGGTATAGACATATGTTACACTTTCTTCATCCTTTCATATGTCACTGGACACTTAGGGTACTTCCATGTCTTGGCTATTGCAAGTAATGCTGTAGTGAACATACTGGTGTATATATTTACTTCAGTTAGTGTTTTTGTTTTCTTCAGATAAATACTCAGAAGTGAGATTACTGGATCATAGGCAGTTCTATTTTAAAGTTTTGAGGAACCTCCATTCTGTTTTCCATAGTTGCTGAATCTGACCAACAGTATATAGGGCTCCCTTCTCCCCACATCCTTGCCAACACTTTTTAGGTCTTGTTTCTTGGATTATTATCATTGTAACAGGTGTGACGTGATATCTCATTGTGGTTTTGTTTTGCATTTCCCCAATTACTAGTGATGTTGAGCAACTTTTCATATACTGTTGACCATCTACATGTCTTTGCCAAATAATTATTCAGGTCCTCTGCCCATTGTTCAATCAGGTTGTTTGTTTGTTTGTTTTGCTCTTGAGTTGTATAAATTCTTTATATATTTTGGAAATTAACCCTTATCAACTATATAATTTGCAAGTATTTGCTCTCAACCAGTAGGTTGCCTTTTTATTTTGTTGATGCTTTCTTCAACTGTATAGGAGCTTTTTAGTTTGATGTACTTTCACTTGCTTAATTTTTTGCCTTTGGGTGTGTGTCAACTCAAAAAGATTATTGCCAACACCTGTGTGAATGAGCTTGCTGCCTATGTTTTCTTCTAGGAATTTTATAGTGTCAGGGCTTACATTCAAGTATTTAATCCATTTTGAGTTAAATTTTGTGTATGGTATAAGGTAGTGGCCCAGTCTTATTCTTTTGCATGTGGCCGTATCATTTTCCCAATGCCATTTCTTGAAATTACTGTTTTTTCCCCTCATAGTGTATTCTTGGCTTCTTTATCATAAATTAATTGACCATATATGTGTGGGTCTATTTCTGGGCTCTCTATTCTGTCCCATTGATCTATGTGTCTGTTTTTATGCCAATGCCATATTGTTTGATTATTATAGCTTTGTTATATAGTTTGAAATTGGGGTGCATGATGCCTCCAGTTTTGCTCTTCTTTCTCAAATCACTTTTGCTATTCAGGGTCTTTTGTCATTCTACATAAATTTTTGGATTTTTTTTCTATTTCTGTAAAAAATGCCATTGGAATTATCACAGGGATTGCATTGACTCTGTAGATTGCTTTAAGTAGTATGGACATTATAACAATATTAATTTTTCTAATCCATGAGTGCAGAATATCTTTCCACTATTTGTATTTTTAAAATTTTCATATATGTCTCTTAGTTTTCAGTATACAGAGAGGGAGGCAAGAGAAAGTGGTGGGAGGAAGGGAGAGAAAAAAATTTGAAGAAAAAAAGTTTACTAGTGTATAGAAATACAACAGATTTTTATATATCGATTTTGTATCCTACAACTTTCCTAAATTTGTTGATTAGTTCTAACAATTTTTGGTGGACTCTTTTAGTATTTTTTATATATAATATTATGTCATCTACAACTAGAGTCAGTTTTACTTCTTCCTTTCTGATTTGATTGTCTTTATTTCTTTTTCTGCCTAATTGCTATGGCTAGGACTTCTAATACTCTGTAGATTGAAAGGGGTAGGAGTGGGCATTCTTACCTGGTTCTTGATTTTAGAGAAAAAGTTTCTCTTTTTCACCACTAAATATGATGTTAGCTCTGTGCTTGTTATATATGACATTTATTATGCTGAGGCACATTACCTCTAGACTCACTTTTGAGACTTTTTAGCATACATGGATATTGAAGTTTGTCCAATGTTCTTCTTGCATCTCTTTAGGTTATTATATGATTTTTATTCTTCATTTTGTAAATGTTATGTATCACATTGATCAATTTGCAGGTGTTGAATCATTCTTGCATCCTACTTGATCATGGTGTATGATCCTTTTAATGTATTGCTGAATTCTGTTTGTCAATATTTTGTTGAGAAATTTGCATCTAAGATCATCGGATATGATCCTCCACTTTTCTTTTATGGCAGTGTCCTTGTCTATTTTTGATATCAGGGGAACGCTGGCCTCATAAAAAAGGTTTGGGCTATTCCCTTGTATTCTATTTTTTTAAGAGTTTGAGAAAAATTGTAATAAATTCTTCTTTAACTGTTGGGTAGAGTTTACCGATGAAGCTGTCTGCTTCTGAACTTTTGTTAGTTAGGATGTTTTATTACAATTCATTCATCTTACTAGTAATTGTCCTTTCCTGGTGTTCTGCTTTCTACCTTGTTAATGTTAATGTAGCAAGGTTGTATGTTTATTTGTCCAATTCTTTTAGCCTGTCCAATTTGATATCATACAATTTTTCTTAGTAGTCTCTTAAGACCATTTGTTAAGAAGGTAAATCTTATGTTAATGTTCTTACCACAATACAAAAAAAGCAAGGAGAGAGAAAAAAATCTTTTGGAGGTGATGGGTATATTTATTACCTTAATTATGGGAACGGTATTATGGTGCATGCTTAAGTGCGAACTCATCAAAATGTATACATTAGACAAGTACATTTTTTTGTGTATTAAGTGTGCCTCAATAAAACTGAGGGAAAAGAAGAAACATCAGAATTTCATGACTTACTTTTCATCCTAATAACACTTATTTGTTTCCCATAGGAAAGTCCAGAAAATTGGTCACCATACACATGGGGAAGGAAAAGTCTTAATAGCCTTATTCTCAAGTTAGTGATGCCCTGTTTCACATTCAAAACTTCTCTGCCACCTGACCCACAGCAAATGAGCCATCAAACTAAAATGCAGCTTTATCCTCCCAAGTCACCAGAAAGAATGTGGCTTATTACAACCTTTATTCATCACCTAAGGGGAGACATACTGTGCTGTGCAACATGAGACTAAGACATAGACCATCTAAAGGCAGAAGTCATGTGACAATTTTCTTTGAGGAAGCTGAAGCAAGACAGATGTGTGAGAGATGATTCAGGAAGAGCTGAACTGATGAATTCTAACTTATCAAGAAAAGGAAGCAATGTTTCCCATCATTCTTGAAAAGGTTAACCAGGAAAACAAATTTAGCTAATTTGATAATTGCCTGTTGATTAGGATAAACAATAACAAGGAAAGAGAACTGCATCTCATGACAGCAGCCCCTTAGCAGGGTATAAAAGGGGAGCTGGGGCAAGAAGGCTTCCAAACCTTCCAAACCTTCCACATCCACCTTCCTGGAAACTCACCCAGAACCTCCACCCTCTGACACCATGGTCAACTCCTGTTGTGGATCCGTCTGCTCTGACCAGGGCTGCGGCCAGGAGACCTGCTGCCGCCCCACCTGCTGCCAGACCACCTGCTGCAATACCACTTGCTGCCGCCCCAGCTGCTGTGTGTCCAGCTGCTGCCGCCCCTCTTGCTGTGGCTCCAGCTGCTGCAGGCCCACCTGCTGCATCTCTAGCTGCTGCCGCCCCATCTGCTGCCAGACCCCCTGCTGCCGCCCCACCTGCTGCATTTCCAGCTGCTGCCGCCCCTCCTGCTGTGGCTCCAGCTGCTGCGGCTCCAGTTGCTGCAGGCCCACCTGCTGCATCTCTAGCTGCTGCCGCCCCACCTGCTGCCAGACCCCCTGCTGCCGCCCCACCTGCTGCATTTCCAGCTGCTGCCGCCCCTCCTGCTGTGGCTCCAGCTGCTGCGGCTCCAGCTGCTGCAGGCCCACCTGCTGCATCTCTAGCTGCTGCCGCCCCACCTGCTGCCAGACCCCCTGCTGCCGCCCCACCTGCTGCCAGACCCCCTGCTGCCGCCCAGTCTGTTCTAGCAGCTCCTGCTGCTGATCGCCCTGACCTGTGCCCACCTCGTTGTTGTCATCCAATCTTCTTAATGTCGTCCAACTGAAATGTGTCATGAGAGGCCAACTGCACAACCTCAGTTCCAACTGATTCTTAAACTGACTTTGGCCTCCAAATACACTGCTCCCTCCCCACCGTATTACCATCTCCCAAAAGAACACAAAGTTTGAATTTCCTCTTGAAATCTTTCAACCAACATGTCATCCCATTTTATATATTTCTTCCTTGCCAGATTTTCTCATATGGAAAGGTCCCTAAGTCTTAAATAAATCTTAATTTTCCAGCATACAAAGTAAAAGCCTCATGTTTCATTATTTTCTTCTTGTTATCTTTAGCTATCAATTGCTCTGTTTTTTCTGCAGAGAGCAGGCTCTAGCAGAGGATTGAAAGGATTCTATCTCTATGCTCAGGCATTCTTACTCTAATATAGGAAGGCGGTTTCTTATAGCAAACACTTTGATCTTGCTGCCTGTGGACATGCTCCGGATGAAGGAGCAAACCTTGGAAAGGCCGGAGTTGGGAGTTAGTGTCTCTGGGAGCGGTACTCAGCCGCTGGACGGGAGGGGCGGCCAGTGCTCTCGCTTCGTTCTCCTGGGTGGGGACACGTGCCAGCGGCCAGAGGGCCTCCGTGGAATGAACCCCAGCTGCCTGCAGGAGCAATCTCCTTACTACATTGTCCTACACTGGCCTTTGTGTCCCTTCCCCAGACCACTTCCCAGGCTCCGTGCTGTACCTTTTCCCGAAAAGGTACATCTTCCAATAAACTCCCAGATTTCAAACCCCAGTTGTGGGGTCTATTCCTGAGGGCCCCTAACTTAAGACACCAGTGTTCTAATCTCATCACCAGTGTCCTTCAAAAGTTTGTAATATGTTAGGAATGGCTGCCGACTGTCAGTGTCAGCTCAGATCCCGTGACCAACAGCATCCGATGGGGGTATTCCGGTTTCCTCTGGGGAAATGGCAGTGGACTCCTTTGGGAAAGGACCAGAGAGATCGCCGCTACATACATTTGCTGTGGTCCTTAGTTTTGGAGGACGGGCCTCTCTTTCAATGGGTCAGTGGGTTGTAGGTCTGGAAACTGGGTGAGGGGATCATGATTTTCCACTGAGATCACTGATCTCAGCCTGCGGCTCACAGAGCACTCTGCCCCAGCTCTCATTCCAAACTTGCAGCCCGTTCCATATTTGTACCCACGTTACTTCTTACAGTTAAATGCTGCCACCTGGTCTCTGCTGCTTCAAGGATATTATCATCCCCCTGGCTCCTCGGGAGCTCAGTTCTGTAACAATATTCCCTACTACAAGCTCCAGCTTTAGACAATAGACTGCCCTGTTGCTGAATAATGCCGCCAACCTCCTTACCTGCTCATTCCGCATTCCTTCATTACATAGCATACCCTCTGAGTCCTCCTAGGGAACTTATTGGGTTTCCTGGCCTTACCACTAGATCTATTCGAGCATATTAACTTCTGTGCACCCTTTGATCTCTTCGTCCTCGTCTCTGTGTTGTGTGGTACTAGATAAATCTGGGCTAACTGTCTGTTGTTATGTGATATTACCTCAAGTTTTAGCAGCTTAAAATGACGCTCGTGACTGTCTCACAGTTTTGGTGGGTCAGGAATCCAGATACAGCTCAGCTGGGCTCTCTCTTTGTGTAATGACGCATAAGGCTGCAACCAAGGTCTAAAGTCTGGACTGGAGAAGAATCCACTTCCAGGTTCACTTACGTAGCTGTTGACAGGATTCCGTTCCTCGAGGGCCGCTGGAGCGAGAGCCTCAGTTCCGTGCGGGTCGGGCCTTGGCAGCACAGATCTCTCCCCGAAAGACGCTTATTTCATCAAAGCCAGTGAGGGAGAGAGAAGGTTGGCTAGTGAGATGAAAGTCCCAATCTTTTGAAACTTAACCGCTTGAAGTTGCCATATGCTCTTGGTTAGAAGCAAGTTATTCAGGAGTCAGGGGAATTACCTAAGACTGTGACCACCATCTAAAGGCCGTCTAAAGGCTGCCTGCTACAACCCTTACATAATATCGAGTGAAAGAATAGAGACACGTAGTACACATATTAAGATTCCACTCATCTTTAACTATGACCCTCCAGACTAACATTCCCAATTTTCTTAGATGCTTTGTGGTTTGCAATCATTGAGAACTAAAACTGCCCTTTTTTTTTCTGAAACCCTACACACTGAAGGTAGATGACTTGATATAAACTTCCGAGAAATTGCCACAATATTTCAGGTTTAGACAATTTTCTTCATACCTGCAGCTATGTGGGGCACTCAGAGAGCTCACCTAAACGCCTGAGGACATCGTCGGAAACATCAAACTGCAAAAGATGATTTGACCCCTCCAGATAAAAATATTATTTTCTCTTAAATGGCTGTCCTCTGGACTCAGGCTGGGTTTATAGTTTGCTCCAGACATTAAACTTCATTTCTCTTTTTTTCCCATAGAAATGCTTTATTAAATAACTGTTTTTTCACACAATAGAGTTCTAACGTGGGAAGCCCACCAGCCTCTCCTCACTCCTGGAATAAGACACAACAATTTAACTGGACTGACCTAATCTCAGGACTGAGAGACCCGGTTCAATCAGTTGCAAAGGAATTGATCAACTTAGCTTTTGGATTGTGGAACCTCTTGGGGAAGTTTCAAAGGCAGGGCTGTAAGGGAGCAGAATCTGCCACCCAAAATATGTCTCCTGGACATAAGGAATATTTTAGCTGATTATTTTTAAGATACAGCAAAGGAGAAGCTCTGAAAACCAATTGGAAGTTACCCTTTGTAAGAGACATTTACATGGGTAAGAAAAATCTCCCTCTGTAAGGGTGTCTCCCACACCGTACCTGGAGGAGGGCAGAACTCAGTCTCTAGAAACTTATCGATGGAGAAGGCAAGGACTTAACACTGCGTAACAACTTCACCCTTGTTTGCTGTGCTTTTCCTGGCAACCACCCATAGCCAACTCCCCACCCACAATGTCTTCTTTTGTCTTTAGCGGAAGTGGCATTTAAGGCAAAGGCATGTGCCATCTTGGGGGCCATGACTTAGATCCCGAGTCTCTCCCATGTATACAGGGGTCATACGTGTTATTAAACTGTTGCTAGTTTTTTCCCTGTTAATCAGTTTTTGTCAATTTAATTCTTAGACCAGCAAAAGAACCTAGAAGGGTAAAGGAGAAATGTTTCCTCTGCAACACGAAGTTGGACTCAGGCAGGGATTCACTTTGTCACTGCAAACATGTCAGCATCACGCCCGTCTCCCCAGGAATGATTCCCAATCAGAGTACAGCTGTAGGAACAAAACCGAGGAGAGAAAGTGTACTGAGTCTAATGAGGCATCAGGAGCTCTGAGAGTGTGCCAAGTGGCCAGACTGTGAATGAAGCAGGAACGATGCTGACAATGTGGCCATCTTCCTTATATCTGGAAAAGTTTCTATGACTTAATCTCAGTTAAGAAACACATCAAACAGTTATTTTCTACATATTCATAATATTTTGAGGATAACTTCCTGTTTTGCAATTCCCAGGACCATGGAAAATAATATAAACAACAACGAGGAAAGTCCTGCTCAGTGGTCCAAAATGAGGCGGGGGGTGTGGAGGAAGGGGGTCCAGTGTATAAAAGCCCCAGGACAGAGGAGTCATCAGAATCTGAGAAACTCACCTTCAAGCAGAAGCCCACCCTCCTCACCTGATACCATGTGCTGCTCTCCTTGCTGCCGCCCAACCTGCTGCCAGACCACCTGCTGCCAACCCAGTTGCTGCCAGCCTTGCTGCCGCCCTTGCTGTGTGTCCACCTGCTGCCGGCCTTCCTGCTGATGTTCATTTGAGTGTCTTTAACAATGGAAGTGATATTCTCTTGCATGTATATGCAGATAACACCTGTTTACAAAGTTTTTCCCAAATTGGTGTCCCACACCTCAGCTGCATTTTAGGGCCCTGCTGTGTGCAGAACCCTTTCCTGTCTCCGGTGCAGTTCCTGCTCTCGTGGGCATCCACTCGTGGGGGCATCCAGTGTGTCCTCACAAGGGAGGTGTCATCTAAAGAGACTTCTTTGCCATCATGTAAATCAGATTGTTGTATGACCTCCTTCTCCTGAGCACCTATTGATGAGAGTAAAAGGGAGTCAATCACTTCCTGCGAAACATGGTATGTTCCCCAAGTTTAAGGCACTTTGTCATTCTGATTAAAATATTAAGAGAATTTAGTAAGGACCAAGTTGGGAAGTGAGAAGCTATGCAATGGACATGTATGGCATAATACACGAACCTTCTAAGGAAACAGAGCAATCTCCTGTGTTTTTTGAGTCCACTCTGAAGCATTTGAGAGAAATAAAAAATTTGTGTTCCAGGGGAATCGGAAGAATGTGAGAGAGAAGGAAAGGAGAAGAGCCTGTGCATCCCTAGTAGTCACGCCAGACAGAAGGCGGGTGCTTTCGTCCCAAATGAGCAGTGCTGCCCGAACATTCACTGAGGTTAAGGCTGGAACCTGCTAGGAACCTGGATCGCCTCCGTGGGAGCAGTGGTAGTACCTCTGCTGCGCTAACCAGGCTGGTACCCAGGACACGTGCTGGGTTCTGAGACTGGGTGTTTGGGATGCTCTGAAGAGACTGCCAAGGCCAAACTTGCTGACTGCTGTTCCTTGGTGGCTGTTTGGATGACTGAGATGAGAAAGTAACATGCTCTGGGGGACCTACTATTTGCTGGCTATGCATTAAGTGCTTTATCTACATATCTTTAGTTCTTGAAGAAATGTTCCAGGTAGGTATAAATGTTCCCATGTTTGAGATGAGGGAATTGAGACTGAGGAGGTAAAGTAATGTCATAGTTTGGTCTCTCCCAGAAGTTACTCTGAAGAAAAGATTCAAGTGGATGTTGTTTATTTGGAAGGTGCAGGTCTCACTGGTTGAGGAGGGCGGTTGTGACACAGGAAAGGGACACCATTAAGCCAGTATCACAGTCAGCAGTGAAGTGTATACCTAAGAGGAAATATCACAAATGCTATAAAACACATACTTTAGGATTGTCCTAATTGAGTAATGACGGAGATGACACTTTATAAACCAACTCTCCGGAAGCATTGGGTGAGTGTTTTTCTCAGTGTGACATACACAGGCAGCACAACTTTCAGTTATTACAAGGGGAAAAAAAACCCCTCAGGCATGGAGATACAAACCTGGCTGGTAAAAACTGGCCCGAACACACTAAGATCCAAACTATATGGTGTGTTCAAAACCTCATCTACAGTCTATGATTTTCCCCACTCAAATCCAATATTGGGTTCTTCAGTGTGGTGGAAACCCATGGCTTCTAGAAGAAGGAGAATAGGAGGAAGAAGAGGAATAGGAGGAAGAAGAGGTGGGGAAGGAGGAGAAGAAGAGGGGGAAAAGAGAGAAGGAGGAGGAGAAGGAGGAGGAAGAGGGGGAGGGGAGCTAGGAGAGAGAAGAAGGAAGAAAAATGAAGGAAAGAAAAAGAACAGGGACGAAAAAGAAAGCAACACAGTAAATGTGCAGTCAGTGGTGTGAGGTCCCTGACTCTGCGGGTTACAAGGTTAGGACTGGAGTCGCCAACTCATCCTCGTTGCCCAAACTGGCCCAGTTATACCACTGGAGAGGCCCATAACCCGGGAAACCCCTCAGTGCTGGGTAATCAGAACTATTCGTCACCCAGGAAGTAAAATGACTGATGCTTTCAGTCCCAGCTTCAGCGTCTACCCACCTGCTTTGGCTCTGCTGTGCTTATGAAACAGATTATGCCAAACATCCTCGACTCAAGTGTCTGCGACAGAGCTGGGACACATGGGCGGGACAGGTTGCTCCCGAGGGACATCTGTCATGGTCTTGAATCAGGCTTTCGTGGGAGGTTTGGACTCAAGCATGGATTCAGTTCGTCCCTGGGAACGTGTCAGCACCCTGCCACACACCACAGAGATACTTCCCAATCTCAGTCAGCGGAGAGACGACGCGGGGGAGGACATGTGTCCTGGCCCTTGCCAGGCCACAGGGCACTGTGTCATGCGACCAGGATACGAACAAAGCAGGAATGATGCTGATGATGTGGCCACCTTCCTTTTATCTGAAAAAAATTTTCTAGGAATTATTCTCAATTAAGAAACACATTAAACACTTGTTTTCTAAAGGCTCGTATCATTTAAGGCACAACTTCCTTTTTACAACTCCCCTGGTGAATATGGAAAACAAACATAAACAACAACAAGGAAGGTCCTGTTTGTTGATTCGAACTTGGGGAGGTGCCGTGTGTAACAGCCCCAGCATAGGAGGAGTCATCAGATTCTGGGAAATTTACCACTGAACAGGAGTTCATACTCCATCCCTGACACCGCGACCAATTCATGCTGCTCCCCTTGTTGTCGACCTTCCTGCTGTAGGACCACCTGCTGCCGACCCAGCTGCTGCTGCCGCCACCCTGACTGTGTATCCAGCTGCTGTTAGGCTTGCTGCTGTTGACCGTCTCACCGTGCAATCTTGTCACACAGATTAACCTGATAATCCACCTGTCACCTCTTCAGTTACTGCCACGGACATTTAGCAGGCTGCCACCATCTCTTTATTAGTTATTCTTGATGAAAAGGTTTTATTTAAAACCTCAAAGACCACTTGTATGTGTAAGCCCAATAGGCTGGTTTTAAGAGACAGCCTCTGTGTTTAAGCATCTGTTGTGTTCCTGGGGCCGTGCCAGCACAATTAAGCCAGAGACTTACCTAAAGGCACCTGTTCTTTGACATCAGAGGTCTCCTTCATCAGGCCACGCAGAGTGTGAAATATTTTTAAAAGGATCAGGTAAAACACATTCCCTTGGCCATGTCATGCAACCCTAAACTTTCAGTCCTTTTTTTCCCTTAACCAGAACCATTACCAAAGGAATTAAGTATGGACGCAGCCCTATGAATTGAGCTAACCACATCATGAAAACCTTACCTTTGAGCCATTCCACTCTCTCTACAAAACACCATCCTGAGTTTTATGAGATGAAGCTGAAGCACAAATCAAACACAGATGTACCTGGTATTCTCTGAAGAGGCTGCCTAGTTAGTTCATAACAGGAAGAAAAGAAGTCGAGGTAATATTTGTTAATTAGATTTAGATTCGGTCTAAGTCAGTGTTCCTCAGCCTTGACCCTGTTGACATGTTGGGCCAGATAATCCTTTGCTGGCTGGGTGAAGGTGCCCTATTGCAACCATGAGGGAATGTGTAGGAGCATCCTGACTTCTACCCACTAGAAGTTAGTAGCACCCCCTTCTGGTAGTGTCATACAGAGCGAAGGTGGGTGGGGAAAGTGGGTAAATGTGCAAAACACAAGAATAAAATCTATACTATAGAGGCATTATCTAAAGGTATAGAATTGGATAATAATAAATGTGACATCAAAGCTCAAGTGATGCAACAAAAGCAGTGTTTTGAGGATAATTTATATATTTAAATCTTTATGTGAGAAGAAAACTTAAAAATAGTGAATTAAATGCCCCATCTTAAGAAACTAAGAGAAAAGCAATAGCATTGCCCCCAAACTACACAGAAGAAAAAAATAGAAAAATAAAAGAGCGGAAATTAATAAAACAGAAAGCAAAGGAAAAATGGTGACTTCAACAACGCCAAAATTTGCCCTTTTAAAAAGTGACCAAAATATTTTATTTCATTTATCTACTTATTTCTGTGCTGGTGTTATGTTGTTTTAATTGCTGAGACTTTTATTGGATTTAATTTTTTAAATATTTTATAATGGACTTTGACATTTAAACAAATTAATAAATAAAATCAATCTGCATTTTTAAAAGACAGAAAGAAGGAACCCCTACCTTTTGCAACAACATGGATGGAATTGTAGAATATTATGCAAAAAATTTTTTTTTAATTTTAAAAAGTGAACAAAATAGATAAAACTTTTAGAAAATTGATCAGCTAAAATGATACAAGACAAAATTCAATAAGATTATGAAAGAAAATTTGGGCATAAGATATGGATAAAACAGATTTTTAAATTATTTTAATTATCTATTGCTTTATTACAAACTACTTATTACTAAAAAACAACAACTGTTTACTGTTTCTCATGAGTTCATGCGCTCACTGAGCTCAGGGCTTTTGCCCCACATGGTACTGACTGGGAAGAAAATAGTCACAGCACAGACAGAGGCAAAGGATTCATCTCAAGAACGTAATTCTCACAAACCAATAACCATGAACAACCCAATAGAAAATTGAGTAAAATATGTGGCTGGGAATTTTATGTTAGAAGAAACACATGTAGGCAGTCAAAGTAAAAACAATAACAACTCAGAATCATAAGTAACTGAGAAAAACACAAATCAAACCTCAACAAGATTCCCACTTACACCATTATATTGCAAAACAGTTTAAAAGTCTGACAATATCAAGAATTTAGGGAGGATGCGAATCCACTGAATCTCTTGCATGTTTGAGGGGGGTGGAAGGTGGTATAAATTTGTGCAGCCACTCTAGGAAACAAATTGGCATTTTCTCCTAAATGATAGATCTGTCAATCAAATATGCCAATAATCTCACTCCCGCGGCTTTACTGACAGCCCTTCTATGACTTATCTTATTAAATCGTGAGGCTTCTCAGTCGGGTGGAGCCTACTTCACCTTGATTTGTTTCTTACTTATTTCCTGTACATCAGTGCACAGCTGCTGGTCGGCTTCAAACTGGTCAACACTTTCCCCTCTAAGAATCTTTAAAAAACAAATTCTTACCACTATTCTCTTAAGTCTCTGCAACCATCTTAAAATTTGTGATAACCAGTCAGGGAAATGCTTTCTGGAAGCACTGTGTTGCACAGAG